GATTGCTGAAGGCCTCTGATTGTTTTTTCCAGAGCCTCTATAACATTATTTTTACTGGTTTTACATATAAAACTGACATAATTGACATACCGTGTTTAGTTTCAGGTGTCAAAATGTGTTTTGATTTTTGTATAGATTCCAAAATGATCATCATAGTAACTCTGCTTACCACTTTTCTCTGAGTTCTCAAGTTTATAATACCATAGTCATTTGATATATTCTGCTTGATTTCTTTAGTTAACTTTTTCTTTGCGATTTCCAAGTGTGAACCTAGTGAGCTGCATTTTCCTAATCTGCTCTTTTGCTGTTAGCACTTTAATTTTATTTTTAAGTTGTATAACTGATAATGTTCTTTGCATTGGTTTCTACAACATGGAGGCAGATTCAGAGTTCATATACAGCAGGTTTATGAGACTTTACACACTGTGTGTTTATGAAAACTAAAGCATTTTTATGACAACCAGTTGACTGGTGTTGATTGTTCCTGATTAAAAGGATGAAAAGTCATTACTACCAAAGTAATACATATTACTTTGGCATTGCTGCTACTATTCACATAGTAATTCAGGCATCCTGTAGTGGTTAACAAAAAGAGAATCTTGCATCTTAAAAAAGCTAATGATTAATAAATTGTCATAATTTAAACTACTGCAATGAGGCTTAACTGGTAATTAAAACTGCTTTTATTAATTAGGTTCAAGTTGTTCCTGGGTTCCTGTGATGATTTTTTTTTCTTTTACAATATAGTGTTTTCTTATCTAGGATTACTATGCTCATTACTAAAATTTTAGTGATTATTTTTCCAAGTCTTTGGTACTTTTAGAATTGTTCATACCACTCTTTTTTTCTTTCTCTTTTTTAAAATTTGTTTTTGGGACACACCGAGTGGTGCTCAGAGGTTACTCCTGGCTCTGCATTCAGGAATCACTCCTGGTGGGCTTGGGGAACAATATGGGATGCTAAAGATGAAAGCCTTGAGTCGGGTGTGTGCAAGGCAAACACCCTACCAGTTGCACAATTGCTCCAGGTCCCAAAACAAAAAATTTTAAAGGGCAAAATATCTGAATAAGCATTTCACCAAAAATGATCAATACATGAGGAGTTAGAGAATACGTGAAAAGATTTTCATCATCATTAGTCATCATGAAATGCAAATTAAAACCAGAGTTACCACTTCAATCACTGGGACAGCTATAAAAAATAGATAATTACAAGAGGTGGTGAGAAAGCAGAAAAGGAGTAATGCTCCCACAAAGCTATTCAGTATGCAAAATATTACAGGTACTTAGGAAAACAACTTGGCAATTTTTGAAAAAGCTAAACAGAAAACATACCATGTGACCCAGCAACTCCAATGAAGTACCTACCTCAGAAAAATGAAGGCTTATGTCCAAACAAGAACTTGCTTACTAAGATCAAAGCAGCATTATTTTAATAGCAACATGATTCCACTCCTCCAAATGGAAATAACCTTCATTCTTCAACAGATGAATGGACAAAATATGGTATACACATACAATGGGATGTTCTTAAACAATGAAAAGAAACAAAGTACTGATATGCTACACCACAGAAAAACTTAAAAACATGGTAGTAAAAATCTAAGACCACATATAGTATAATAATCATATCAAGAAAAGGCAACTTGGGGGCTGGAGAGATAGTACAGCAAGCAGGCAGAGTGTTTGCTTTGCACATGGCCAACCAGGGTTCAATCCTCGTCATCCCACAGGGTCCTCCAAGCACGCCAGGAGAAATTCCTGAATGCAGAGCCAAGAGTATCATCACCCCCCAGCCCCCACCAAAAAAAAAAAAGGAAAAGAAAATTCAACTTCACAGAAACTCATTAAGGATTGCGGAGATTAAGGGGATGGAAATGGGAATTACTATAAATGGCCTGAGGGATTTTTACTAAGGGGATAAAATATTCTAAAAATGGATTAAGGTGATGATTGTGCAACACAGTGAATTGAGTTTGTAAAACTCATTGAACCTTGTTGAACTCCACAAGAAATGACTTTTATATGTAGCTTTATTACATATAAAATTTATTTATTTCAATAAAACTGAAAAAATTGCTTCTTCCCTGTTGATGGAGGCATAAATTCTCACTTTCTAGATGTTGGTGACTATAACTAGCAAACATCCCGGAACAAGCTTATTTTGGTTTTGGGGGGCCACACCCACAAGTGCTCAGGATTTACTCCTCGCTCTGTACCTGGCAGAGCTCTGGGGATCAATGAGATGCCAGGGATTGAATTCAATTCAAGGCAAGTCAAGCACCCTACCCACTGTACTATTATTCCAGCCTACAAGCTTAGTCTTAAGAAGTTTACATATTAATTTGTTTCTTTAAGTTCGATCTTCTGGGAAAAGAACAAATCAGGGTCTGCATGGAAAAGAACAACAACAACAGAAAAAATACCCCAAGCAAAAATCCACCTTTAACATAGTATCAATGGATCTCACAAGCCAAGCCATATTTCATTCATGACTAGACTGACCCTGACTAATCCATTTAGCAATAACCACACAGATCTTCTTATTATATAGAAATGTTGGAACTCCAAGCTTGGGGGCTGGCAGTGCCACATTAAAAACATTGCTCAGAAGTAGCAGCTCAAACCTAAACCCATTAAATCACTGAACACATACTCACAAGTCTCAGATGAGTATTAGCCTATCTCTTCGCTCACATACATTTTTCTGACTTTATTCTTTTTCCTTTCTTCCTTTCTTCCCTCCTTCCCTCCTTCCTTCCTTCCTTTCTTTCTTTCTTTCTTTCTTTCTTTCTTTCTTTCTTTCTTTCTTTCTCTTTTTCTTTCTTTTTTTTTTTTTTGCGTTGTTGGGAAACCACTGAACCTTGGTTGATTCAGTGATGTCCTCCAGAACGCCATGAGCTGAAACCTAACAGATTTAGGGTTCTAACCTTCCTTTTCAGTCAGAAATTATTATTTAGATTCCACAAATGGCATTTATACAGACTAATCCATGAATATCTATATAGTCTTGTCTCTCAAGATCTAATTCCTTGGGCTGGAAAGAGAGTAGAGTCTGTGGGGGACTTGCCTTGCACCTGGCTGGCCCAGGCACATCACATGGTCCCCAGAGTTAGCCAGGAGTGACCTGCAAGTGCAGAACCAGGAGGAAACTCTGAGAAGAGCCAGGTCTGGCCCCCAAACAAAATAAAACAGAAGATCTAATTTCATAACAGAAAACAACTAAAAATGTATTCTGACTTATTTTTATATTCCTTCCTCCAAGTTTATCGTCAGTGAAGCATTCACTGATTTTTAGAACATGTTTTCACCAGATGATGGGGGATCCTATTAAATTCCTATGAAATAAAATCAGGCTGTATAAGAGAATTTGGCAAGTAGAATAGCCAGTTCCCTCATCTAATAATAGTAGCTACTACTCAAAACCAGCTAACCATACCACTGAAACAAGGGTTAAGTCAATTCCTTCAGGCCAAAATTTTTTTAAAGTTTGAAAATTGGTAATAATAGTAACAAATCCTACACACACACACACACACACACACACACACACACTGTAGTACTGACCTCCTGTTGTTCAATGATTTGCTTGAGCAGGCACCAGTAACACCTCCATTGTGAGACTTGCTGTTACTATTTTTGGCATATCGAATACACCATAGGGAGCTTGCCAGGCTCTGCCGTGCGGGCAGGATACTCTCAGTAGCTTGCGGGGCTCTCCGAGAGGGACAAAGGAATCAAACCAGGTCAGCCGCATGCAAGGCAAACACCTTACCCACTGTGCTATTGCTCCAGTCCATATAACAAATACATAATAAATTTAAAAATTAATAGATGGTAGTCCAGACCACCATCTCTCTAGCTTGAATGTTTGCAAAGGTTTTATTTAGTCTCCCACTAGGTAGGTTTTTTTTTTTTTTGCTTTTTGGGTCACACACAGCGATGCACCGGGGTTACTCCTGGTTCATGCACTCAGGGATTACTCCTGGCCATGCTCAGGGGACCATATGGGATTCTGGGAATCGAACCCGGGTTGGGCTGCGTGCAAGGCAAACGTCCTACCTGCTATGCTATCACTCCAGCCCCTTAGTCTCCAACTTGGACAGGACACACACGCACACTCATGCGAATTAATTCACATAATCAGTATTTGATGATGAACTTTGCCACACAGAATATTTACATTGACAATTACAGGAAACTCTACTCAGTAAAGGCAAAACTTTTAAAAATCTCTATTTCACTAAAGACAATCTGTTCAGAACAGTTGTTTTCAGTACCCTTATGCTAGCCAACCTCCTAGCTCAAGCCCCCCAGTCTATTTTCCCAGGACTGTTACTCTCTTGGCAGAGATGACTCAAGTGCGTGCCTTCCAAGAGTCCCAATTCCCCTACCAATGCCCAGAGGAAAAACAGATTGGGGTGCTTTTCCCAACTAAAGCATTTCCTGAAGACAATGTCTTTTGTGCTACACTAATTTGTTGCTGTTTATAGCACTCTAATGATTCCAACATTAGATACTCATAAGGAATTTTTTAATTCTCACTATGCTCCAAGTTAAGAGCCTCCAATGAGTAGTTTTCTACTAGACAGACTTGTAAATCAGAATCAATCAAAAATAGCTTACTCTCAAAGTTTCAAGAGAGTGTCAGATACAAAGAAAAACAGAAATGATTTGTTCTATTCCTTCACTCTACCAGGAAAGAAAGAAATTCTGAAAGGGTGATACGATTTGTCCAGGGTCCTCAACAAGCTGTGTTGCAAAGTGGGATGCAGTTATCTGGTTATAATAAGATCTCTTTCTATTATGCAACACAGTAATGGAAGAACAACGATGGGAAAGGAAAATATGGAAATAATAACTTAGCAGAGGGGCCTGTTGCACCCCCCCTTCTCCTTTTCAAATTCATACTTGGGCCTTGATAATACTTTCACATACCATACCAGTTTGCTCATTTTCCTCAGGACTTGACCAACCCTAATTATAATCTACATCTGAAAGGTAATACCCTTGCAAAGAAGAGGGGTGAATGGGGAAAACAATATTATTTCTAACTGCCAGTCATCAAGTGTGCAACTACTAACCAATACTGTGATAATTTATATCTTGTGAATTTACAGGGTGACTAAAGCAGAATATTGTCAGATTTCACCCAAGGCCCCAACACACACACACTTCTTCCTGTATTCCAAAATTACTCAGCAGCATGAAATCCTTGATGTCTGATAAGGCCTGAACTACTTTTAAATACCTTCTTACATTTACTGCACTTATATTGTGTTTTGGTATGAGTCTTTAGGTGCTCGATGAGTATTGTACTCCTAGTAAAGGTTGACCCACAATAGTCACACTCATAGGGTTTCTCTCCAGTATGTGTTCGAAGATGCTCATTGAGAGAGGAGCTCTGACGGAAGACTTTTCCACAGTCTTTACATTCATAAGGTCTGACACCAGAATGAGTTCTTTCGTGGCGGCTGAGAAGGGAAATGGTCGCGAAGGCTTTCTCACACTGTTCGCATTTGTAGGGCTTTTCTCCAGAGTGAAGCCTCCGATGATAGATTACAGATGAAAAATGGCTAAAGGCCATCCCACAGTCACACACATACGGTTTTTCTCCAGTGTGAATTCTTCGATGCCGGGTAAGGCAAGAATTCTGCCGAAAGGTCTTTCCACATTCATCACACTTATAGGGCTTCTCTCCAGTGTGAATCCTCTGATGTTTGCAAAGGGATGAGCTATGGGTGAAGGTCTTCCCACAGTCTTTACACTTATAGGGCCTCTCTCCAGTATGAATTCGCTGATGTTGGATAAAAGAGGACAGGTCATTGAAGGACCTCTTACATTCCTTACACTGATAGGGTTTTTCTCCAGTATGAATTCTCTGATGTTTCAACAAGTCGGTTTTCACGGAGAAAGATTTTCCACAGTTGTCACATTTGCGGAGTTTTTTTCCACCGTGAGAGGAGCGTGAAGTGCGAGATGAACTATCATTAAATGCTTTTCCACAGTCATCACACAAATCAGTTTTTTCCCTAGGGTGATGGCTCTGCTTTCCAGCCGATGAGGTATTATAGGTAAAGGCTTTTCCACACTTGCTACACTTATGGGATTTTTCTCCAGTCGCAGTCTTCTTATTTTTACTTAAGGCTTTACCCTGATCTAAATATTTGCGACATTTTTCACACCTAAAACAATGTCTTTTCTGGGAACGCGACAGTCGTTGGGCGAAGATGATCCCACAATTACTACACTTCTGCCTTTTCACTCCAAGAGGAATCTTCTGAGGCTTCTGATGTTCAGAAAGAGATGAAAACTGACTCAAGACTTTCTTGCCCTCCTGAGATTTCAGTGACTTCTGTCCAGTGTATTCTTTGTGGTTCAAAACAAGGTCAGAATGAAAGCTGAACGGTTTCTTGCTGTCATTATACCTACGAGATTTCTTCCTTAAATGGTCTCTTATGTGTTTAAGTATCACTGAAGTTTGTTTGGCACTTTTTCCAGAGGGGGCTTTTTCTGAGTCAAGTTCCTTGTCCCTATGGCTACTCTTTTGGGTTTTCTTTTGTGTGACTGCTACTTCTGAAAAGTCCTCATTGCCACAATCTTCCTCTAATCTGTCGGCCTGTTTTGGGGAGTCGCTCTCATCAAAAGCTCTTAGGCATTTTTCAATTATGTTATCTAAAGTCAATTCTTCCAGAAGAGCATCTTCATTTGGAGAAAGCACTTTCAAATTACCTCTTGGATCACACTCTAAAAGAAACAAGTAGAATATTTCCTTGTTTTTTTGTTTTGTTTTGTTTTGCCTTTTGGCTCATACCTGTTGATACTGAGGGATTATTCTGGAATCTACACTCAGGAATTACTCCTGGAAGTGCTCAGGGGACCAAATCGAATGCTGAGGATCAAATTCAGGTTGGCCACATGCAAAGTAAACACCCTACCCACTGTACTATTGATCCAGCCCCCAGGGTATTCTCCTTCTGAGTGAAAAAGGAAGCTTCTATATTGGGGACTAGAATAGGAATAAGGGCAGAAATGGCTACAAGGAATATGTCTTGGACATTTCTCAAATAGTTTGCTAAAACATTGGGAAATTTTCTAAACATAGGAGTTAGGAAAAATATTGAGGAAATGAGAAGTTTGTACTTTATACATAAAGTATTGAGCTTCTCACTCATTTCAGATTTCTGTAATTAGATTCCATCATAGTCTTCCTCCATCTATTCTATTTCCACACAATAATAATGATGTGAATGCATTTATTGAATACTTGTTAATACCATATTCTGTATGATATCATGCACTTTTTTTGCATGTCAACTGATCTTTGCAACAACTACGCATGAAAAGACATACCACTGTCTTTCTGGGGGTGTGATGCTTGGGAGCTACTTCTGGTTAGGTGCCCAGGGATCATTCTAATAGTGCTAGGCAATATAGAATCAGGGACTAAATCTGGGGCTCCTCCCTACAAAGCATGAACTCCAGCCCTTTGTACTCTCTTCTCAGCCTATTATACCCATTCTGTGGATGTGAAAAACATAGATTATAGGTAGCTTGGCCAAAGTTATCAGACCTTTTTAAACTTGCCATTACACCAAAGACCATATATTCGCTTCCTATATCATACTATATCTCCTCAAAGCAGCCAAGTAGCATTAAATTTATATAAAATGTTAATCACAGGCGCCAGAGAAATAGTACAGCAGGGAAGGGGCTTGCCTTGAGTGTGAGTGACCTGAGTTTGATACCCCAAATCCCATATAGTCCCACAAGAACTTCAAGGAAGTGATCCCTGAGTGCAGAGCCAGGAGTAAGCCCTGAGAACCACCAGGTGCGGCTCAAAGGCTCCTGCCCACCCCTCCCCAAATAAAAACCCTGAAAATGTTAATCAGAGATGTTGTTCTGTGACTATGGCAACCCCTCAATAGGCATCCACACTATCCCAACTAAACTGTGGGATTTTCAACCCTCAGTGTTAATAGTCTGAAGTCTTAAAACTTCATACTAGTTAGAAGGCAATCTCACGGCATTTTCACTATCACAAACACATCATTCTAGCAAGACTAGGGTTCAAGCATCAAAGAGCTTTTTCCATATGCTAAGAGAAAAACTATTACAATGCTACTTTTTTTATGTGTAATTATTTCACTGGTAATTCTTCATAAAGATAATATTTGGGGAGGGGTTCAAATCTGGTGGTGCAGGGGATACTACAGGGCCGTGTGTGTCAGAGATGGAACTTAGGGTTCATGCAGGCACTGCATGAATTCCAGTCCTCTGAGGCATCAATCTGGACCCAATATCAATATCATTTTAATCGGCTCTAGATTTATTACGGTTTAATTATCCCCTCATTGTATATATTTTTCTTTTGGTTTTGGGGGCACACCTGGCAGTGTTCAGGAGTTATTCCAGGCTCTGTGCTCAGGAATCACTCGAGTGGGTTCAGGATATCATATCAAATTCTGGGGATCGAACCCGGATTGACCACATGCAAGGAAAACGCCATACCCAGTCAAGTGCCCTGCCTGCTGTACCATTCCTCCAGTCTCCATAAATGATTTTATAAGAAAGCTGCACATTTAAATAGTGTTTCTTCCCACCATTTTGCCAGCAGAAAGCCCAGCAGAATATGCCCACCTATACTCAGCATATTCTGGCACAGAAATAACCCAGCTCCACAGCTAATCTTGAAAAGAACATGATGCTGCTGAATATTCCCAGGTAGACGAATCCAGACTGAAAACTCTGGGGCATTCTCAGAAGGAGACAGATTACCCTTTCTGCCTGAAGGCACCACAGCCCCACCCACACCAACACCCTCAGGCATAGAAATGGATCAGCAACACAAGTGAACATCAAGTCAAGCCACGGAATTGCTCCAGCTGTAGTGCACCACGTTGGATGGGATGTAAAGTAGAAGACAACCAACACACAAGGCTTAATCTGTAACAACATGTTAGTCATCTCTTATCCGAAGGTTTAATTGCTCCAGGGTAAGAAACAACAGTCTACACAATTTTTTTTTTCTTTTTTGCTTTTTGGGTCACACCTGGAAATACACAGGGGTTAGGGTTACTCCTGGCTCATGCACTCAGGAATTACTCTGGCAGTGCTCGGGGGACCACATAGACGCTGGGAATTGAACTTGGGTTGGCTGCGTGCAAGGCAAACCCCTACCCACTGTGCTATCACTCCAGCCCCCTACACACTTTCTTTTAAGGAAATTTTTTTGATTATTTTTAGCAAATTATTCATAACAAACAGCACGAAATAAATAATTTAGGGCCTGGTTTGGGGTTTGTTATTGGGTGATGATTGAGAAAATTGGAAATAATGGTGGTGGGAAGTTGTAATAGTGGTGGGATTGGTATTGGAATATTGCAATAAATCATCATGAATAACTTTATAAAAATAAAATTAAGTTAAAAAGCAACAAACAAACAAACAAAAAAACCAAATTGTTCTAGCTCCATATCTCCTGGAGCACAAAGCCACTTATAAATATTTATTTTTAATGTAAATTTAATATATCATTGTTACCTTTCAATGGAAGACTAATATATATATTTATATCTCCTCATAACCAGTGTTAACATATTTGTTCTTCAAATATTAAAAATCTATGGGGAGGGGCACTGAAAAGATTGTACAGCAGGTTGCCTGCACACAACCACAGCCAGCACAGCTGACTCAGGTTCGATTCCTGGCACCCCAGATGGCTTTCTACCCTGTCAAGAGTGAGCCCTGAACACAGAGCCAGAAGTAAGCTCTGAGTACTTCCAGGTATGGCCCAAAACCAAAAATAAAACCAAAAATTAAAATCTATGCAGGCAGGAGAAATAGTACAGAGGTTACGGTGCTTGCCTTACATATCAGCAGCCCTAGTTTGACCCCTGGCATTGCATATGGTTCCCCAAGCACTTCCATGGAGTGATCCCTAAGCACAGAAACAGGAGTATATCCAGAGCACCACCAAGTGTGCCCCTTCCCAAATCTGTGTACATAAATGTATTTAGAAGTATGCATGCATATATACATTTTTTTTCTTTCTTAAAAAGCGGGCTTATACTATACATGATAGCCATTGAGTGAATTCCTACTTATCCTTCAAGATTCAATTCAAATGCTAATTAAACCCTCATTCCTATATTTTCTCATGCTTCTTTTACAATTCTCCTTCCTGCCCCCACACCCCCCCACCACAGTATGGGAAATCAAATGCAAGATCTCACACATTTGAGGCATGCAGTCTACTTCTGAGACACATCCCCAGCCCTTAAAACCCATTATTATACCAGATACAATTCTGACACATTTTGTTTAGTTATCGATCTATGTGGTGTTGATAAAAATGCACCTCTCAGCTCACATCCTGTGGGAAGCTTACCTTATGGCTCGACTAGTGTGCTATGAATCCATCACCATAGTCACAGCTCGTCATTTTCTCCCAGGTCACTCCCAGTCAGAATTAGAGGATGAATATATGGTCCACCTCTATGCGTCATGCAGGACTCCTTTGAGGTGACTGTGACTCAAGGACTCCTTTTTGATCTTGCCAAAACTTTCTTAGAACAGTAAGAGTCTAGGACTCTTCTCAACCTTCCATCATTCCCTCTCTCCCTTCCTACTTCTATCTCTTCTGTCACCTTTCCCTCACAGGTTATAGACCAGCCTTATGCACTATCAGATTTTATAGCCCCCCCCCCCAGTATTCTCCCCTTTTTCCTTTACCGGATTTCTCACTAATAAATCTCCATCATAACTAATCACATCTTGGCATATACCCATTAAAATGAACATACCAGGAAGGCAAGATATTTAACAGCTGGTCCACCCACCATTTCCTCCCCTCTTTCCAGGTCGTTGTAAGCAACTGTTGCAATTTCATTATCAACTTTTCACCAACTCACCTGGTCTGGAGCTTTCTGAGGTGTCTTGGTCCAGCAGCCATGGTAGTTTAATACACTTTAGCTGGGAAATCAAATCTAACTTGGAAACTGGAAAGCCTGCTCACAGAGAAAAGAATATAAAATGACTAGTTATGCATGCAAAAAAGCTTCCAGCATTCACACTAGCCTCAGGGTCTCCAGGAATGAGAGCATTCTGTTAAATACAGACAGCAAAAATGGAGCCTGAGCGGGAAATATGACGAAAGGGATGGTCTTAATGACAGCAACATAATGGTAACCATTTCTCATTCCATAAAGCAGCCTTTTTTTTGTGGCAGAAACGCTACACAAAAGAACTTCTTTAGGACGAATAGTCAGACTTGGGTGTATCACTGTATCACCCTTCCTTGCCCCAGCTAAAACCATTAAAATATTTCATACAGCACAAAATCTTCTATAATAAAAAGGTAAAAAAGGTAAAGGTCCTCCCGTTGATCGTCGATTTGCTCGAGCGGGCCCAGTAACGTCTCCATTGGAGACTTTGTTGTTACCGTGTCTGGCATATCGAATACTCTCGGTAGCTTGCCGGGCTCTCCGAGAGGGGCGGAGGAATCGAACTCGGGTCGGCTTACCCACAGACTCGAGGTTCGTACAGCTCTCCAGCAACACTTCCTTATAAAGTTCTTTTTGAAAAGGCTCCAGTTTCCTCCACTCTCCTCTGGAAAAGTTCACAGCCACATCCTTCAATGTCAGGGGTCCCTAGAAAACCAAACATAGTCTTTCGTGCACTGGATAAGGTCACAGAGATACCAAGGATTCAGAGAAGTAATTAGGATATAACATGGTTTTGATTATGTACTCACACAATTCATATATACTACCAATTCTTGATAGTACTCAAGTATTTGGGCTGGAGTGATAGCACAGCAGTAGGGCGTTTGCCTTGCACGCAGCCAACATGGCCGACCCGAGTTCGAGTCCTCCGCCCCTCTGGAGAGCCTGGCAAGCTACCGAGAGTATCTCGCCCCCACGGCAAAGCCTGGCAAGCTACCCGTGATGTATTTGATATGCCAAACACAGTAACAATTGTCACAATGGAGACGTTACTGGGCCCACTCGAGCAAATCGATGAACAACAGGAGGACAGTGACAGTGACTCAAGTATTTAAGATTTCAATTTACATAATAACTGGATTCTATGACAACTATAAGTGACATAGAGCAAGGGTATGACACGATCCTGGCCTTTTCCATTTAGTCCTATGAAACACTGTTCAAGGACCCTCTGGGATGTCTAACACATTGGTGTCCAGGGCTGAAAGAAAAACACTAAATGACTGATAGAACGTACATTTCCAAACCACAAATTTGCAGAATTAATGTAAGCTAACTACAGGCAATAATAAAAACAGTAACATCAGTAGCACATTCCAAATTTTAATTTCCAATTACTTACAAGTAGCAATTATTTCCTATCAACATCAAACAAGAACCGGTGTTCAGTAATATATACTCACAATTGCTAGAAAGTATACCTACTCACTGAAATACACTTTCTGGAGTATTCTGTGCATGGCATTTTAAAAGACAGCAGAATGGCTATTAGCACTTATAATAGCTTTGTCTGAGCATGGAAACAAATTACCATAACTTTGGTGGTTTAAAACAATAGAGATTTATTCTCTCACAATTCTGGATGCCAGAAATGTGAAATCAAGGTGGAGGCAGAGCTGCTCTTCTGAAGTTCTGAGGGAGAATATATTCCCGTCTTTTTCTTTTCTTTTTTCTCTTCTCTCTCTGTCTCTGTCTGTCTCTCTCTCTCCCTTCCCCCCCAATCCCCTCCTGCCTTAACTCAGTGGTGCTCAGTTCTGGCTCTGTGCTCAGGAGTCACTCCTGGCAGGGCTTGGGGGGCTACATGGGGTGCTGTGGACTGAACCCTGATCAGCTGTACACAAGATAAGCGTCCTGCCTGCTGTACTATCTTTCCGGGCCTGGCCTCTTCCAGTTTCTGATGGTTGTCAGCATTCCCTGAGCCACATCCCCAGGACCTTGATATATGTCATTTTTATCATCTTACACAATAGCTAAAGCATTCAGAAAACGCAAATACCAATGCATTTAGATACCTTTAGCTTTTTACTGGTATTGTGAGGACTGTTTTTTATTTTGTAGATTTCCTTCCCTCCCTCCCTCCCTCCCTCCCTCCCTCCCTCCCTCCATCTTTCCTTTCTTCCTCAAGGCACCATGAATTACAGTTATTCCTAACTGAGCTTCAGACAAACAATACTCCAACACAACTGGTCACCAGTGTAAACTTCCCTCAACCAGTGTCCCCAAGTTCCCTTCTACCCACCAAGCCTATCCTCTAAAGAGGCAAATCAATTATACAATGATCAAATACCCATCCCTCCACTGGTGCCCATTATCCACCACCACAGATCCCAGTATCCCTCCCACCCCCCATCCCTCCCCCCCATCCCACCCTGCCACTGTGGCAGGGCATTCCTCTTTGTTCTCTCTCTCCTTTTGAGTGTGGTGGTTGAGGCAAACTTTTTTTTACTGTAGTTTGGATCTCTTGCTTACAGTTTTTTGGTTCTGTGGTTGAGATATATACACTCACCACACATCCTCTATACCACCAATCTGTCCAAGGCCTCTGCTCCCTACCCCTTACCTTCCTTCTGTTTCTTATTACTCCCCCTTGATTTCTTTTGTTTGTTATTTTTCTTTGAGGGGGAGCACACCCAGTGGTGCTCAGGTCTTACTCCTGGCTCTGCATTCAGGGATCACTCCTCATGGGGTTTGAGGGGCCATATGTGGTGCCAAACCTATGTTGGCCACGTGCAAGGCAAGTGCCCTATTCACTGCACTGTTGCTCTGATCCTGCCCCCCTAAACCCCACCCCCCAATTTCTTTCCTTCCCTAACTTTCTCAGTTCTATAATCCAGGGACCTGGATAATCTAGGTACTCCTCCTTCAAACCTTGCATTCGCTTGTCTTGTTGTTCTATGTATCCAAAATAAGCTAGATCAGCTCATAGTCTTCTGACTTATTTTGGATCTCTCATATAAAGAAAATAAATTTTATTTCCACCTAACTATTTTCATACGGAATAATTGTTAGTAAATAATTGTCTTGCTTTTGGGGAGTAGGGTGGGGTCTCCCAGGTAATGCTCAGCAAGGGGCCATGGATTCTACCAGATATTCTTGGCCAACTAGGCTGTTGGTTCAGTGTAAGGGCATGAGGTTGTGATGGTTCTTGGGCCCTAGAGGGCTGGGGATTCAGGGTCACCCCAACAGTGCTAGAGGTTTCCAGGGTTGTGCCCATCGATGCTCAAAAGACCATGTGGTGCTGAGAACAGAACCCAGGTCTGGGACACAGTAGACATGTGCTCTAACTGCTCTACTATCTCCCAATCCCTGTAAAACATTTTTATTAAAGTAACACATGTGGCAAGTTCAGGAAACCAAAATAAAATAACATGTGAAGAATGAGTTGTAAGATCATGAAGAATGGGAAAAGGACACGGTCTTAATTATTCTAACATCTTTAGAACACTCAGTCAGGGCTCCATTCGCTTAAGAGTGAAAACGGGGGTGGAGGTACAGCTACAGGTCAGAGGGCTGGAGTGCATGGAAAAGCACCATCCCACGAGCACGAGCACAACTGGGAATCACGGTCACGGTCCTCCCGTTATTCATCGATTTGCTCAAGCGGGCCCAGTAACGTCTCCATCATAAGACTTGTTGTTACTATGTTTGGCATGTCGAATACGTCATGGGTAGCTTGCCAGGCTCTGCCATGCGGGCGAGATACTCTCGGTAGCTTGCCGGGCTCTCGGAGAGGGGCGGAGGAATCGAACTCGGGTCGGCCATGTTGGCCGCTTGTAAGGCGAACGCCCTACCGCTGTGCTATCGCTCCAGCCCACCACTGGGAAAAGCTCCCAAGAATCATGCCAGAACCACCAGCTGTGTCTCCAAAAAGGAACAAAGGGATGAGAACCAGGGCCTGGAAGATAGTTCTAAGGGATGGAGAGATGGACTGAGATGGTCCAATCCACCATATTCCCTCCCTCCCTGTACCACAGGCTATAGCACTGGTGGCCCAGCTTCCCTGCCCCCAGTACTGCTATTAACAGTAAACTTCTTTTAGAGTTGGGGGAGCAACAGTGTAACAGGTAAGGTGCCTGCCTTATATGAGGAGACTGAAATTCAATACTCAGCATCTCTTATGGTTCCCCATGCCCTGCCAGGAGTGACCCCTGAGCACAGAGCCAGGAGTAGGCCCTGAGCACAACCCAAGATAATACCCCCCACCCCCTGCTCATAATAATTTTCTTTTACAATGACACAAAAGAAAGCCAATGAAAGGAAGCTTACCTGGGAGTCAGTACTTGAAAGGACAGAATCAATTTGTTCTCCTTCAGGGTTCTCCTCTTGAGATTCTTGAGAGACTGGCTCTAGGAAGAGGCGGGGGGCAGGGGTGGAGCGACAGTTCAAGCCTGGGCCAGAGCAGCCAACTCCAGTTTGATCTGTGGCACCACTTGGTCTTCCAGGCATTATATGATCTGTTTGTTATTTTGGGTCACGCCTGGCGATGCACAGGGGTTACTCCTGGCTCTGCACTCAAGAATTACTCCTAGCGGTGCTTGGGGGACCATATGGGATGCTGGGAATCAAACCTGGGTCAGTTGTGTGCAAGGCAAACACCCTACCCGCTGTGCTAACGCTCCAGCAGAGGCATTATATGGTCTGGGTGGCCCAAGCAGCACTGCATCCTTGGACCCTCACAATAAATTCCCAGCCTGGAAGTTCTCCCAAATAGCTTAATCTTTTAAATGGATTCTTCAGATTAGAAATTCTCATATTTGGCTTAAGCTTTGGGGGGAGGGAGGGGGCAAAAAGGTCAAGAAATCAAAAATAGAACTGGCAGAGATATAGTTTCCTACTGCAATCCCAGCTTCTCCCCTTAGCCCCATAAAAGGTCTTTCAATTTTTAATCTCACCAAAAAGTGTAATTTCTTTCATTCCAGGCATTCAGTTTTTATTTTTCACATAGCTAGTGGTGCTCAGGGGCTATTCCTAGAAGTAGTAACCCCTGGTGGTATTAGGCAACTCTATGGGGTACTGGGACTCTAACCAGGGTCAGCAGCATATAAGGCAAGAGCTTTACCCCATGTCTCCAGCCCTACGCACCCAGTTTTAATGCATTTAATCTGCATAATAATTATTTTAAAAATGCATCATGGCAAAATGGCGCTTTGGGGTTCTGGGGGATTTGTTTATCTGTGTCATACCTGGCAGTTGTCAGGGTTTACTCCTATACTCAGGGAACCGTATGTGGTGCTGGGGCCTGGAACTGGGCAGGCTGCTTGCCTGGCAAACTCCTTCCCCATTGTGCTATCTCTCCAGCCCAATATTAGGGGAATTTTTATATACAGTTAAACTACAAGGACGCAAGGAGATAGAAAGGCAGTAAGGGCACATCAGGTCCTCTGAACATTATGTGTTGTAGGCCTTGAGGCTCCCAGCATGGGTGAGTTGACTCTGGAGGCCTCCTGCACTACTGGGATGGCCCAGGTATCCCCACAACACAAAACCCAAGCGTCACTGCATCTTTGGGATCCTTCACTGAACTGATGGCCAACTGATTGAGAATTGTACCCCTAGATCTCCTGAGCACCACTTGGGAGCCCCTCCCAACCCAGAGAGAAAGTTAAACCACAAGGTGAGAGAGGAAGCTCACGGGGAAGACTATATGATTCACTTGTGCAGCACCGTGAGTTTGTTTCCCAGCCACGACCCTGAGTGTAGCCATGGCCCCAAGCACCAATAGGGTTGGCCTTTGAGCCCCGGGGTAAAGAAACGCTGAGCCACATGTTTCAAAGGGTTATCCTATCCCTCTCAATATCATATAGTAATATAATTATCTCAATCAGTTTAGACCCTACACATTTGTAATTTATAATAAGGTAGGAAAATGTATTTCAACTGATCCCCCTAAGGTTGTGAAACTACACTACTCAACAGGGCAACTGCTTGCTATATGGCTCTTTAAATTTAATGAAAAAAAATCAATTCTTTATTTGCACCAGCCACATATCATGCAGCTAACATAACGTGCAAACCCACACAGAGTATGTCATTTCAGAGAGTGGGCAACACCATTCGGGAGAAGTGCTCCTGCACACAACTGCAACTAGACGTGAAGCCAGGGCTAGAGGCTTTGCTGGTGATCTGAGTGTTCGCACAGTAAGTTCTCTCTTCCTAGAGTGTAAGGTGCCCTCCTGCCCAAAGTGAAGGGCACTCACCATGTACACCCTCTCCTGCTTAATCCTCACCCCAAACTACAGAGAAGATGGGACAATGGGACACTTTTTGTGTGGATGTGCCAGGGATCATAATCAGGACCGCACTCATGTAAGATACGTAGTCTACTTCAAATTAACTATGTAAAAAAAAAAACAAATTAACTATGTAGCCTCGGGGGTCTCCTTAACTATAGACTGTTAGCTCAGGGTAATAAAGGAAAAGGTAGGGCCCCTTTAAATCCAACCTTAGGGGGCTGGAGCGATAGCACAGCGGGTAGGGCGTTTGCCTTGCACGCAGCCAACATGGCCGACACAGGTTCGATTCCCAGCATCCCATATGGTCCCCCGAGCACCGCCAGAAGCAATTCCTGAGTGCATGAGCCAGGAGTAACCCCTGAGCATCGCTGGGTATGACCCAAAAAGCAAAAAATAAATAAATAAATAAATAAAAATAAATCCAACCTTAGGCCACGGCTAGTCTTGTTATCAAAACACTTTCTTATGGAGAGCTTATGCTTATACTTTGGTTTTTCGTGTTTTTTTTTCTGCTGTTTTTGGGCCATACCCAAGGGTGCTCAGGAGTAATTCCTGGCTCTGTGCTCAGGAATCACCTTTGGCAGTGCTCAGGAGACCATAAGGAATGCCAGGGATGGAACCTGAGTCAGCCACATGTAAAGAAAGTGCCCCACCTGCTGTGCTATCTCTGCTCCCTCAGGCTTATCCTGTGGACACCCGCCCGCTTCCTCCCCACTTGAGAAATCTCACCTTCCTTGACTGCAAGCATTTGGGTCAAATCCTCTATCAGGGTCACCACCTCCTCACTATTGTAAGGATGCTGAGTCTTCACCCAAATCCTCATCTCCCCTGGCAAAATGGCCAGGAATTGCTCAAACACCAAAAGCTCTAACATTTGCTCTTTTGTGTGGATATCCGGTCTCAGCCACTGAGTGCAGAGCGCCCAGAGCTGATTCAAGACTTTTCTGGGTCCAGCCTCTTCTGAGTAACAAAACCACCTGAATCTCTGTCGGAAAGACTCTGAGCTAACGGGGTCTCTTCGCAGGAGAGCTTCTTTGTCCCCAGCCGTATTTGGTTTTAGGATCTCATTTTGTTTGCTTGAGGCTGGAATTTGAGGGTCTGGGGAAGCGGCTGCCATCTTGTTCAAGGGCACCAGAGCTTGTAAAGTACACCACCGGCAGGAACCACGTCTCCTATGGACGCTAGTTGAATAAAAGTGCAGTCCACCAACATGTGCCACAGGTGTTCCCAGGATTCAGTTTAAGGTCTTGCAGAAACTGTCCAGAAACATCAGATATTGATTAAATAAGTAAATCACAGAGTTAATCCTAAAAGCATTGTTCTTGGTTTGGTCCCAATATTTTAAAACAAGTACAAACTCTTAACGAACAAGAACAGTCCCAACTAACAAGAGAATATATATGTGTGTGTATATATAGATAGATAGATATTGTGTAGATGACAAAGCAACGAGTGGCACATATGCTGCCCAAGCCCACGTGGCCGAGCACATGTGGTGCCCGAGCACATGTGTTGCCTGAGCATGTGTGTCACCCGCATCTTCTCCCCTCTTGAGATGTGTACTTTCATGCTTTCCTATCTCATGCTGGGATGTGTGTAGGTGTCTCTCCGCCCTTGGAGAAGCGTGGATTCTCTTCAGTGCATCTCTCTCTCTTTCTCTCTCTGTCTCTCTCTCTCTCTCTCTCTCCCCCTCTTTCTCCCCATGCACACCTTCAAAAACCCTCCAAATAAAATCTGTTTTACTTCAAAAAAAAAAAAAAAGGAACGAGTTATTTAGGGAGGTACTTCAGTTTCTTGCAATGTAACATTTCTCGCAAACAAATCCTATTAGAAAGGGCTCCTAGCCAGGAGGGGATCCGGATTCAAACCCACTCAGCAATGCCTGCCCTCTCATGAATGGCCACCCGCTCTCCCCAGCCACTAAACTCAGAAGGTCCGTTTCCTATTTGGGTCTCAGCTTTCTCGCACAATCAATAACCGCCTGCTGGTGGTTTTCATTCATAAGAGCATCTGCATTGTAGCCTACGTCCAGTCTTCTGAAGCCCAAAATCCTGCTGCCCCGTGGGGATGCCTTCTAATATGAAAAATAAGGTCTAATCACTCCCCGATTGCCTCCATTTTCCAGAGCTGCAGCCAGGCAGGATGAGAGCTGCAGATGATCCATAGCCCCTGCCCAATGACGTCACCTCTTATGCTGTAGGGAACCCTTGGGAGCACAGCGGCCATCAGCCCACAGGTGTCATCTGCCTATCCCCAGAAAGGCTCCAGCCCCTTTGCCCACCACTACAGCCATCACCATTCCTAGCCTTCCTCTTTGCTAACAAAACTTGCACTCATTGCTTTAAAGCTGCCTGCCTCTCCCCCCTCCCCACCACACCCACCCACCCACCCATGCACACACACACACACGCACACACACTCCCTTGCGTGACGCTCTCTGATCCCCACCAGCTCCTTTGCAGGGATTGCAAGCGTGCGTACTTGCATTCTAAGCATTCTAAGCATAACCGATCCTCTCTACAAAGAATTCGGATTCTGGCGTGCGGCGGCTGGAGGGGGTGTGGGGGTGGGTGGGTGGGAAGGGCATCCTTACGGAACACCCTGGAAATAACGCACCCGAGACGGGGAGGGGGGCTGGAGTACGGTCAGTGCGTGGGCGCGCATCAATAGCAATGCAACGCCCCGGAGCGCAGAGCCAGCTACGCGCAGCGCATCCTGCATGAAGCCGTTTCATCCTCCTCCGAATACTGGGCACCTGCGAGGGCACCGCGCGGGACACCAGGGGGTGTGCGTGGACTGAGAGAGTCACTTGCGTCTCCGGGGAGCTACAACTGAGGCCACGCGAAAACGTGACGCGGACAGAAAGTTCTCAAAGGTGGGCGACGGGGAGGGGGATTTTCCCTTTCCCAGCCCAGCACTGCATCAGGACCGTTTTCGATCACCACGGCGGGCGCGTTACAGGGAAGTCCAAAAAGCGACGCGGCGAAATACCCTGCAACACAGGGGACAGTTCTTCCCAGGGTCCCCCCATCCCTCTCCAAGAACACACCCAGAAATTTTCCCGCCCCAGATGCTAGGTGCAGAGAGACAGAGGATGGAGCGGAGCGAGGGAGAGCGCCTTCCTCCGCCCCAAAGTTTCGCCTGCCCCGAAACTGCAGCCTGAGGGGTCGGCAGATGCGGCCCCGACTCGTCCCAGGGGAGGCCTCGGCACCGGCGATCTGGCCGCCGCCCGCTACCGACAACCTGGGATCTCCCAATACCTGCACCGGGGCTGCATCCAACCTGGTCCAGCGAGGCACCGCATCGCGCTGCTAGGAGCCCGACCTGCGGGAGCTGCGCGCGCAAGCCCAGTAAGGGCGCAGGGCGCCTGCGCAAGCGAGCAGGACTACGATTCCCGGGGTGCGCTCCTGCAGCCTTGCCCGAGTCTTGTGTCTTCCATAGGCTCCCCAGCTTGCCTGTTGCGCATGGTCCTTGGGGAAGCTGCCGGTGGGCTCCAGAATTAATGCTGCGCCACAGGCCGAAAGGCCTGGAACCGCCTTTGAGTTGCAGAGCCATGACGTTATGTCTCCTTGGTAACCTCAAGGCATCCCTCCCTCCCTCCTTCTTGATCGGTGTCTGAAATCCAGACTGAATAAACCCCCACCACAGAAGGGTGGTAGTGATGCATTCAGTGGAAATCAATGCTGCAACTTGAATTACACAAATGTTAATTTTAAATTTCCACACCCGCCACTATGGTCTTGTCTGGGCTATTCCCATAGCTTCCCGGTGGCACTTTCCTTCTTTTGTTTTGTTTCTCACATTGCAGTCAGATGTTTAAAACATCAAGTAGGCATGGAGAGATGGTATAGCTCTCAGGCCTGTGCCCTGCACTCAATTGTCCTGAGTTCTATCTGCGGTGGCTCCCCATGTGGTTGGTGCCCTGAGTCCTTCCAGGAATGATCCTTGAGTGCAGAGCCAAGAATAAGCCCTGAGCACCGACGGGTGTGGCCCGGAAATAAAATAAACAAATCAAGCAGATTATGTCCCTCCTAAAGACTTCCTCTCGGAACAAACACCAAAAAATCCATGTAGTGGCCTAAAAGGCTTGAGAGAATTTGCCACTTTAGCCTCCCGGACTCATCTCCCTCATTTCCCAGCTGTGGTCACCTTGCAGTTCTCCTTTCTGCAACCTGTGGCCTGGCCAGCCTGTGTCCCATTTGCAGCCTCCCACCTTTGATATCTCCTCAAGGAACTTTTGGCATCACTTTCTTTAAATCAGAACGCGCCTGGCCCGCTCTTATTTTCTCTTCAAACATACCATATAATTTTGTTTACTGACCCGGTTTCAATTCCTCCATCTCTCTCGGAGGGCCCGGCAAGCTACCGAGAGTATCCTGCCCGCACAGCAGGGCCTGGCAAGCTCCCCATGGCTATTCAGTATGCCAAAAACAGTAACAACAAGTCTCACAATGGAGATAGTATTGGTGCCCGCTCAAGCAAATCGATGAACAACGGGAGGACAGTGCTACAGTGCTACCTATTTTACAACTTCTTTATTAGACTTTCAGAATCGTAAGAACTTTATCCAGATGGTTCCACTGATTTTGATCTCTAGGCCCTAGAAATGGACTGGCACTTAGCAAGGGTACAGTCATTATTTGTTGAATATGTGAATGGGCTTGGCATGGATTACTAGGGACACAGGGGTAAAGGCTAAAGAACTCTGGAAGGATTGTTTGGGGGAAGTCACTCTACATGACCTTTAGGGGTAGAGCTGGAAGAGAAAGTCATGGGAAACACAAGGAACAGTTTGGCTCAAAGCTTCCTCTTCTTTTCCCTTTCGTAGCGGTTGTTGCAATGACTGGGTGTTGTTCACACTTGGCTGCAGTGCTCATACAACTGGTTGCAGTGTGGCCAGAAATCTGTTGCCACAGAGCAGTCAGGATCATGCATGTAAGCGGTGCCGGATATGGAATCTCTGCTGGAGTGTCTAACTCAGAAAACACATTGGGAATCCTGAGTCAGATGTGGGCAAAATATTGCCTGTGGGCTGTATCAGGCCCATGAAATCATGTGGTCTGATCCTGATACATGACAGGACAGATATGGAAGCTTCTCATCAGCTCCCCTCAATCAGACTGGCTGTATTGTCTGGCCCATGAATGATGTTATTAAAAATCTGCCTGGCCTTTGGCAGAAAAAAAACCCACTCCTTAAGCAAGTAAGTGAGAATTTTGTGCTTGGGTTTCAGTTTGGAGATCTGATTGGAGAGAAGTAAAGCCTGGAAGCAGAAAAGTTGTCTCAGGAGGCTGTGCCAGAATCCAGGGATAGTGAAGAAAAGGTGATCTGAATCCACGTTTCTCGCCTAAGAGCCTCGTACCCCATTGTGGGACCCCAGGATATTCCACAACTAGAATAGAGATAGGATATGGGGTCACAGGAAGAAAACAAGGTCAGGAGGGGGCCACAGTTAGAAAAAGGTTGAGAAACACTGTTCTAAATGGTGAAGGGGGAATGGAGAAGAGAGCACAGCAGATATGGTGCTTGCATTGCGTGTAGCTGACCTGGGTTCGAGCTCCAGTTCATGGCAAATTGCCTGCCTTGCAAATGTGAGGCTGCAAGAATAATCCAGAGTGCCATAAGTGCTGAACTTGGTCCCTGCAGTTCTGCTCACTGGGGCCCCTAATGCTATAGCAGCATTGTGATCCCTGGAGCACTGTGTGCATGAAGGAAAGATAACGTGGACAGCACAGTCAGGACTGTGACTTCAGGCGAACACTCATAGGAGAACCTCAGTCACCCTGCCTAGTGCTCTAACCAGAATCTTTGCGAGCACCACAACTAAAGTGTGTGGCAGGCCTACTCCTGCAAACACCGTTACTTGGTACAAGCACCACAACCAAGCAGATTATAAACCCCTAAGGTTACAACTATAGTCTCTGAACTCCACTCCCTTGGCACTGCATAGTCTTGAGTCCACCAGGTGTGACTGAGGGGTGGGGATTGGGGGTAAAGAAGAAAAAAAGAGGAAAAGGAACCAGAGAGACAGCTCAAATGGGCTCAAGGTTCAATTCCCTCAACACCACTCAGAGCAAACCCTGAGCAATAAGCTAGGAGTAAACCCTGAGCACTTCTGAGTGTGATCAAAAAGTTTTAAAAAATTTTAAAAAACAAGCGAATGAGCTGGAGCGAAAGTACAGCTGGTAGGGCATTTGTCTTGCATGTGACCAACCCGGGTTCGATCCCCAGCATCCCATGTGGTCCCCAGAGCAATGCCAGAAGTAATTCCCGAGTGCATAGCCAGTAGTAATTTCTGAGTGCCGAGTCAGGAGTAATTTCTGAGTCCAGAGCCAGGAGTAAGCACTGAGCATCACCTGATGTGACCCCACCAAAAAAAAAAAATGCAGAAAACAAAACCCAAAACCAGAATGATGCAGTGGCCTACAATGCATGCCTTATGAGCATAGATCACAAGTGTTAATTTTCTGTGTCCCCACATATGCTAAGCATGATCCTAAAAGCTGTGCTGCCTGTGTTTCCCAATGCAAGAGTGATTTCCTAAGTTCCAGCTCTACTAAAAGCCAGATATTTGCAAGCACCACAAATGGGCACCACCCTCTGTGAACACTGAGCTGACAAGATGTGGGAGTGTCCTGGCATGACTCCTGGCAGGCAACCAATGTACGTTTTAAATTATGCATATGCTCACTTTATGACCCAGCAATTCCTCTCCTGTACATTTACTCATGGGAAATGAGAACTAAAATGCACAAACTCACACACTCATACACACGGCTAGTGTGGGAATGTTCATGGACAATTCCTTAATAATTTCCCCAAATGGGAAGCTACTGAAATGTATACCAGATGGCCATACAAATAAGAGTCCTTCACACACTGAAATACTACTCAGCAATAGGAAGAAATGAAGTACCATCATATGCATCAATAAAACTGGGTCTCATTGCCAGGTACAAAACTGCGCATGCAGGGACCTTAGAAAAATAGTCTAGGGGCTGGAGCACAGCAAATAGGGCATTTGCCTTGTATGTAACGAACCCAGGTTTGATTCTGAGCATACCATATGGTTCCCCAAGCACCGCCAGGACTAGTTCCTGGTGTATAGCAGGATATGCCAGATGAGACCCTGCCCCCTAAATATATCTAAGAAAACAGCACTGGGGCAGGAGAGATACTAAAGAGGATAGAGTGCTTTTGTCTTGCACATGGCCAGCCTGGGCTACAATCTTTGGCACCACATATGGTCCCCAAAGCACAGAAGTGACCCTTGAGTGTAGAGTCAAGAATAATCTCTAATTTTTTTCAGTGTTCCCCCTGAAAAAAAATAAAGAGAACACTAAGAGATAAGTGGTTTCTAGGCATTAAAAATAGAAGGAAATGGCACTTTGAGGCAAGGGAATTGCTCTATAGCTTAATTCTACAGCTTGATTCTCGTGGTTATGTGACCATAATATTACACATACATCAAATTGCATACTGTACATTTTTACACAATAGAATTATATCTGGGTGGAAGGATCTGGGTGGATCTGGAGGATCTGGAGGATTATATACTACAAGATTGTGAGATTTAGGGCCAACAAGAGAAGTGAAGTACATGCTATAAGTGTGGAAGCCCCACGTTTGCTCCCCAGCATCACGCGGTCCACCAACTATGGCCAGGAGGGACGACCAAACACTGGAGATGGACGTTGCTTCCCACTCCTCCCAAATGATTGTAAATTCTACTATAAAGTATGCCTCAGTATAAGTGAAAGTATATCGTATATGGCTACTCATAAGAGTTATTTTGTCACTGTTCACGGTAAAAACTGGAAACACGTTCTTTGGGTGGGGAGGTGTCACACCCAGCAATACTCAGGGCCTTCTCAGGGCCTTCTCCTGGCTCTGCACTCAGAATTTGCTCCTGGTGGAGTAAATCATATGGGATGGAGGGTCATATAGGATGCTGTGGATTGAACCTGGGTCAGCAGTACGCAAGGCAAGTGCCCTACCCACTATACAATCTCTACAGCCTCCAAATTAGAAATGCCTTAAATGTCCAGCAAATGGTGAATGGATAAACAATGAACAATATAAAGGAATACTAGTCAGCAATGAAAGGGGTTATACTTTTAGCACATGCAACGATCCAGATATAATTCCAAAGTGAAAGAAATCAGACAAAAACGATGGGGCCAGAGCCATAGTACAGCGGGTAATGTGCTTGCCTTGCATATGGCTGAGACAGGTTCCATCCCTGGCATCCCATATGGTCGTCTGAACACAGCTGGGAGTCATTCCCAAGTGCAGAGTCAGGAATGACTCCTGAGCATCACCAGTGTGGTCACCAAAAATAAAAGAGTAAAACCAATCAAACAAAAACCAAAAACAAATACAATACATAACTCTGTTTTTGTAAAATTCTAGAAAATATAAACAGAGCTGAAGTGATGGTACATGGGTAAGGCACTTGTCTGACATGTAGTGGCCCTGGGTTATACCCCC